AATAAATAAATAAATAAATAAATAAATAAATAAATAAATAAAATAGCAACCATTTATTTAGCTCACAATTCTGCAGATTGGTGATTTGGTACTGGGCTTAGCTAGGCAGTTCTCATCTTAGTTGTTGGGCTCATTCATGCTGGTTACCGAATCTGTTGGGAACTGACTGGCCGAAGATGGGCTCAGCTGGGATGGATCACCACTGTTCATGTGATCTCTCACTCTCCAGCAAGCCAACCTAAGCTTGTTTTCATGATGGCTGGGGCAGCTTTCCAAGAGAGAGCTCCAAACGCTCTTTAGGCCTCAGCTCCAATATAGCACATCATTTCTGCCACATTCTGCTGGCTGAAGCTAGACACTAAGGCTGGCCCAGATTCAGGGGCAGTGGGAATAGATTTCCACCTCTTCCAGAATGTGATGTAAAGCCACAGTGCAAGGGTGTGAATAAAGGGTGGAATGAGAAGTCAGGGCAATCAACTGCACTAGTCCATGACACCCACCATACCCCCCACTCCTGGAACCAGCCAGCAAATCCCAAGTACCCTCTTTCTTTTCAACAAGCAACAAGATTCCCTGACTCTTACCTTTTCTGTTCCTTTATCTTGTCCTGTTTCCCAGGTTCCTTTATTTTCCAGATCTTCAAATTAATGTTTAATGTAAGCAGTATCTTTACTTTCTGAGAACTCATTCTCTGTTGTTCCATAAGGCAAACCTTATGGATGTGAGATCTTCTTGAATCTAATTACTGAGAATAGTAATTAGAGAGGCTTAAAAAAAATTTTTTTTTCTACTGTTCCCTGCATGGTTTTCCTCTAAAGCCATTTTTTTGCTGTTTGCTTAGTTTCTTTTTTGCGTTGGCAGTCTTTCCTCTAATGTCTGGTGAACACTGTTTGCATTAAGAATAAGGCAATAAGGGGCACCTGGGTGGTTCAGTCATTAAGTGTCTGTCTTCGGCTCAGGTCATGGTCCCAGGGTCCTGGGATCGAGTCCCGAGTCAGGCTCCCTGTTCAGCAAGAAGGCTGCTTCTCCCTCTCCCACTCCCCCTTGCTTGTGGTCCCTCTCTCACTGTGTCTCGCTATCTCTGTCAAATAAATAAAATCTTTAAAAAAAAAAAAAAAAAGAATGAGGCAATGAAAAGCACCGGGAAGTTCTGTGCACATCCCCTGGTTGGCTTCCTTCTGGGGCAGCCAGATGGGGACTGGCCTGTACAAGAGGCCCTGTAGGCCAGAACACAAGGGTCTCATCTCATGTATAAGGCTATTCTGTTTCTTTAGAGCATGGGTGTTTAACCTGGTTCAGGCCAATGACTCCTTGGATTGTCTGGTAAAGTCCGGAGGCCAGAGTAGTGTTTTTTTTGGTTTTTTTTTAAAGATTATTTATTTATTTATTTATTTGAGAGAGAGAATGAGATAGAGAGCATGAGAGGAGGGAGGTTCAGAGAGAGAAGCAGACTCCCTGCCGAGCAGGGAGCCCGATGCGGGACTCGATCCCGGGAGTCCCGGGATCTCCAGGATCATGACCTGAGCCGAAGGCAGTCGCTTAACCAACTGAGCCACCCAGGCACCCCAGAGTAGTGTTTTTAACGGAATTTAAAAATACATAGGATTACCCAAAAATCCCAATTATACTGAAATACAGTCATTGAACTATTACACATTTCCTCTTTCTCAGTGGGCACCCAGGGCTCTTTCTGTTGGTGGGATTCTGTATCTCCTGACAGCTACACATATTTAAAGTGTACAATCTGATGAGATTTGACAATACATGTACACCTGCCAAACCATCATCACAATCAAGATAATGAACATACCCATCATCCCCCAGTTCCAAAACTGCCTTTTGTAATTTCCTTCCTTTTTAAATGTTGGCCACAAGCGACAATGGTATCAGCAGAATCTGAGACGTGGTCACTAAAAGAAATGATGGATGTTTTCGTATCACGAGGAGATACCTCAGATTATCATTTATGCATAATGCCACTTAAATATCTTATTTACTGAAACAAACATTTGTCAAGGGGTTTTAATGTCCTTTTACTTTTGATCAAGTATCCACCCCAAGCAATCCCCAGAGAGTAAATGCTGGGCTGCTAACTCTAGCTGAAGGCAGAATCTTTGCTGGGCCAAAGATTTCTGGGCCCTCAAGCTGCTGTGGCCTGAATCATTGGGGTGGACATAGAAGGTGTTACTCTGACCACTGCCAGGCTTCATAAACCCAGGCGATTCTTTCAGGCAGAGGAGGAGTTCTGGCCACTCTTTTACTCACCTTTCCCTGGGGCAGAAATCATAGGCCTGTGCTAACACCCAAACAAAACGCTCACCTCTTTGAGTACACTGAAGGGAAAGATCATTCCTTCCCTTTAACAGCAATGTAGAAAGCAACCCAGCCTAAGTTCTGAAACCAGGAGCTCGTAGTAGGATACTTGGAAATGCTACATCACTGCTCCCTTTGCTGTAACAAGCAGCTTATCATCTGGGAAAGGGACGAGTGGTCCTGGGTGTACCATCCTTGAGAGATAACAGAGGCAGTGTGTTGTTTCTATCTGCTTCCCAGGAGAAAGAAGTTGTTACATGGTGATGTTGCAGAGTCCCTGGCCCCAAGGGTCTCCTATAAAACACCTACTCATTCATCCATTCATTTGTTTAATATATTTTGGGTGCCTGTTATGTGCCAGGTGCTACCTTTAATTGTGGAAAACAAGAGACACAATGTGAATCTTCCTGGATGGAGGTCACAGCCTGATGGGAAAAAGAAACATTAAACTAAGTAACACACAAATAAACATATGTAATGGGGGAGGGTGGAGAAAACTGATAAAAAGTTAGAACAGCTATATCTGCTTTTTAAGGGGTATATATAATTCATGTCTGGAAGGATAGCTCTTTCTATGGTCCCCTCCAGCCTAGAAACATTAGTGGGGAAGGGATTCTTGCTTGAGAATTTAATCATGTCCTGTAAGAGTTTGTGAGTTCAAAGCAGAATTGAACATGTGCTTTGAGTTGCTGCAGATGGAGACCCAGAACAGTCTTTTTCTTTCTCTTTTTCAAGTGGGCACAGGTATGTCATCAACAGGCAGGCCTGGAGCCAAGCTGAGTAGGGGATGAGGCCCTACTCTGCTCAGTATGAACAGGACAGGGGGGAATGAACACGAATGAAACAAGGCTACTAAGCACAGAGTGCGCAGAAGGAAGCATGGGGAGATACTACTTAATGGGCGCATGGTTTCAGCTTCACATGATGAAAACATGCTAGAAACAATGTTCTGACTGTACTTAATGCCACTAAACTGTACACTTAAAAATGGTTAAAATGGTCAATTTTATGTTACATGTATTTTATGATAAAAAGAAAGAAAACCAATTTTTAATAAAAAAGAAAGAAGGGAGCAGCCTGAAAGTTGATGGGAGGCTGAGGTTCCAGCAGGAGCTAGGAGTAAGAAGACCCCTTTGGGGGGGAATGGTCTAGATATTCAGAGAATAGGAATGTCTAACAATCAATCTTAAGTTTTTTGCCCTAGGACCAACTCACAACCACTGACTGAAGGGAATGGCAGACAAACATCCACAGCCCCTGACCCCTCCCCTGAGGTCATTCAGAGGTGACTGTTGTATTACAGGTCCCCAGAGGCATGAAGCACCCTACCCACACTTGATAATGTACTTGTATGGATTGCCTCCCCTTCCAGTGCTTCCTGGGATCACCTCCCACGTAAACCGCTTGTACCTAATCCTTATCTCAGACTCTGCTTCTCAGAAATCCAAACCAACCCACCACATTTTGGTATAGAAAACAAGTGCTACCATCCAAAGGAGGCACACACGGAGACAGGGGTGATGTGGGGCACGAGAGGTGGAAACCTCCCAAGATGCTTCTTGGGGGCATCTCTGGACCATGAAGGCTTGGGTACCCAGCTCAGGGCCATATAAAGAGGCAAGTATTCATCAAAGCAAATATGCATTAGCCAAACTTACAGAAACGGGAGCATGAAATCATACAATCAGTGCTTTTAATTCAAAACGAGAAAGACAACTTCATCCTGGCCAGACCTCTTGCACCCACCTGATGGTACCTTCTCTCCCTGCAGACGAAGGAAACCTGTGATTATCTCAAAGCTGCCTGGTGGGCAAGGGCTGCGCCCAAAATGAGCTACAGAATCCCCCTGCTGAATGAATGACATGTTTGGGAACTACGGTGGGGCTGGACACCGAACAGGCCCTCACTGACAAAATCCTTGTTGATAACGTTGCCTAAGTGGGTGCAAAGGCTGCAGCCAGCTCCCCCACCCTGGGAGTCTCAGATTCCCTTTGCACTGCCATGACTGTGGGCTTGGAAGGAGAAAGTGGGCTGAGTTCCGCTCCTCATGCTCCAACACTAGCAACTGCTGGACTGTTTTTGGGGCTGGCTGCCGGAGATGGGAGAAACCGGGGTCAAGGACAGGTGGGGCTGGCCCACTGCAGCAGTATGAATGAGTCACATGGCACCTCCAGGCACAAGATGTTCTGGGATTCCTCCCCACCACCCTTCGCCCAGCCCCCTTTCCTGCCAGCTTGTGGTGTCCACTTGTCCTGGGTGTGGTACCACACCTAGGCTGGGAGCAGGCTGGGAAGGAGGCCGATGCCAAGCTTCACCTGGCTGTGTGTGTGTCCATCCGTCCCTGTCCTCCCTCCTTGCCCTCTCAGGAAGTCCCATCCCAGGGAGTGGTTAGCGGGGCCACGCAGCACTGAATTCCTTCTCCAGACCCTGGACAAACTGGTCATTAAGGAAGAGCAGTTGACCATGGGGCAGGAAGCGGGCAAGGATGCCCTCAATGCGATCAGCCCGAAGCAGGAGGTTGGTGCTGGGGGTCAGCAGCCGGAGGTGGTCGAGGAGGAGGCGTGCCAGCAGCCGGAGCGTGCCCTCAGCCAGTAGCAGGTTCTCGTGGGCATCCAGCACCAGGGCGAAGCCTAATGAGAGCACGCCCAGCCATACCACTGTCCGAGGCTCCTGGAAAGGGTCCCCTGCTGCCAGGCGGAAGGCCCCAAGGGGGGCTTCATGCAGGGGCACTGGCTCATCTGAGGACTGAGGCTGCAGGTCCATGAGGGTCCGGCCAGATGCCTGCTGCTGCAGCCGGCACATGGATTCCACCTGCCTGGGGAGAGTGGGTGGGTCACTGACTTCTGTCATCCTCATGACCACCCTCAGAACTGCTATTAACTCCATTATCTCAGATGTAGAAACTGAGCCCCAGAGAGACTGTAAGACCACAGAGCAGAAGCATGAGCCATGACAGGAATCCAGGCTCCTGCCTCCAGGTCCTGAACCCTTTCACTCCATGTGTTCATGAGAAGGCAGGTTTTGAACACAGCCCCTTGGGCCAGGGAAGGGCACCAGGGGAAAAAGACCCTGCCCCCACCAGCTTCACAGAGGCCTCCCTAACATAAAGAAAAGCAAGCCATGAGAAGTAAAAGCCATGTTCAGCTGGGCTGTCCAACCTCTCCACCCCCCATCTCACCCTGCAACCCAATCCAAACAAAAAAGACTTTCCACTTGGCCATTTAGGCTTTTGAAATCACACTCTGATCCCTCCTGAATCATCTTCTAATTTGGGCTGTGCACAGGCTGGTTTTAAAGGCCTTTGGTTTTCTGTGCCATGGGAGGGGGGTGGAGACCCAGAGGAAAAAAAGGGACGGCAAAAGACTAGCACAGGGCTGCCCCAGAATGTTAATCCCCTGCCCGCCCCCCCCAACCAGCCACAGAATGCAGAGAGGCAAAGAGATTCTGGAACTTGCTGGCTCCATCTGGGTCTGGGATGGGAAGGTCCAAGGCCAGCCACCACATCTGAAACAGTGTTTCCCAAACTATTCTCTGTGGATCCCAGGCTTTCAGGAGGCTCTGGGCTCAGAGTTCCCATGTACCACATTCTCTCTCCTCCTTAGGGATTCATAAAACCTACACATATACTAACAGCCCTGAGAAGTCCTGCACTGCAAAGCATGTTTAATCTGTTCCAAGGTTTGCCTGCCTACACTCAAATCCCAGCTCTGCCATGTTCTAGCTGCAAAACCTTGGGCAGGTTAAGTTCCTGTGCCTGTACCTCAGTTTATCTGTAAGGTGGGGATAATAACTGTATCTATCTCAATAGACTGTTAAAAGAATTAATGAGTTCATATACATGAAATACTCAGAACACTTAGCACATATGTATAAGCTCAGTTAATGCTAGCTATAATTGTAATGATGATGACAATAGCATTATTATTTCTTTAACCCCTTCTCACATAGTTCTGAACAACTGTGGATGATTGTGGAAACACTACTCAAACTTTCTGCTTTTTAGTCTGATTCTCTGTACACCCCCCCCCCACACAAAACCTGTCACAATCAGACACGTGTTCAACGAAAGCCTGTGTCACCTGGCCACAGCCAAAATCTGCTCCTTTCGGAGGAGCCTGTCCCGCTCAGCACCATGTGGTCGTGGGTCATCGGGTGAATTCTCGGCACCAAAGACGCAGGAGTAGAGCACTCGGCAAAGGCCCGTATCCTGGGCCTGTGGAGCCCGCAAGGTGTGGATGAGGAAAGCGTGGACCATGGCTCCGGGTGGGCACTACAGGGAAGCCAGAGACCTCGGTGAGATGAGTGTGAAAGCCCAGCAGCGCAGGCAACCACAAAACCTGGGAGCATGTCCGGAGGCTGCTGTGGTTGGTCACTGGTCCCCCTCCACCACCCAAGACGCACTCCCTGCCTCTGAATAATGGCGTCTGGTCCCCAGCACTTCTGTCCACAACAGAGTCAAAGGGTGAAGATATCTCAGGCAACCCCAAACCCGGTTCTACAAAACAAATGGCCAGGAATCTTCAAAAGTGTCAAAGTCATGAGAGTCAAGGGACGCCGGGGAGCTGCTCCAGACTGACTGAGACTAAGGACAGGGCAGCTGAACGCACCTGTGATGGGGTCCCCAGCCAAGAAAAGGGTAGTTTCAACATACAGCATTATTAGGACAACTGCAAACATTTTAGGTAATAGTCTTGATCAGTGTTACCTGATTCTGGATGTAGGAGAATGTCCTCGTTTTTAGAAAAAACACACTGAAGTACCTCTAAATACACAGGTAAAGCGGCATCGTAGCTGCGGCTAACTTAATTATCAAAGGGTGTAAGGTAGTTCTTTACAAGAAAACTCCTTAAGTTTTCTACAAGTTTCAGATTACTTAAAAATAAAGTCTACTAAATAACGATACTACTACTAACAGTAGCGTCCGCCTGGCTCAGTTGCCGGCCCGGGGTGGGGAGGCAGCGGGGCAAACAGGAAGCAAATATCCGGATCTGTAATTAAGGGTAAGTAGACCGTCCGTTTAAATTGGTCAAGCACGGAAGGTTCGCGAAGGCGCTTTGAGACCGGCAGCCCGCTGACCCTGGGCTGACCTCCGGTGACCCTCCAGCCTCACGAAGAGCGCGTCATCAGCCTTCGCCACCGTCTCCCCCCCCCACGAGAAATGGTAGTGACCAAAACCCTCACGTCACTGCCTCGCGCCAGCCAGCGGCGCAGTGCATTTAGGGAGTTGTAGTTCCTTGCTCCAGTCAAACAGACCTAAGCAGAGCACCCCGCCCTGAGTGTGCTGCCCCTTCAGCCCCGGGGCCGCTGTCCTCCTGGCGTCATACCCTTCCTTTCCTGCCCGCGGACTTCTGCTAACAGGCCGCTCCACTCCGCAGTAGGAGAGCAATGGCGGCTGCGCGGCTCCCGGGCACCTGCGCACGCCAGTCGCGGGCGCGCGCACGAGCTGACGCGCGCATGGGGGGCGGGGGCGAGGGCGAGGCCCCCACGTCGGGTCCCGTCAGTTGTACTCTTCCGGAAGTGGGGAGGGGTGGTATTCTGACGCCTGGCCCCCCGGCACGGGCGGCTTTCGCCTTCCGACCAAAGACCCCTTGCTTCGAACTCCCAGCGGGGCCCCGCGGGCTATTCCCAGACCCGGCGTTAGGGGTCCCGCTCGGAGGCCTGAACCTGCCTCGCCCCAGGCCACCGCCCCCGGCGACCGCGAGGGGGCGCAGCGGCCCGGCGTGTGAACCTTCCGGAAAAGGCCGGGGGGGGGGGGGGGGGCGAGGCTCGTGGGGCCTAAAAGTGCAGGGCCCGTTCTCGAACTGGCCAGTATGCGTGAGAGTCACTGGGGTGCCTGTTAAAATGCAGATGCCTGGGCTTTACTTGTGGAAATTGTGACTTTAGGGGAAAGATGCATGTTTAGGCAGTTGGTGGGGGAGGGTTTGGGGTTGTGGATTCCCGCAGCGGGTTAAGACCAGGCTTCGTTTTGGAGTAGAACGATTAAAATTTGAACCCACCCCTGTCACCAGCCGTTGTGTCCCTGGCAGGTGAGTCACTTCGTTGGGCCCAGTGAAGCCCCGTAGGGTTTAGCAGGCTGACCAGTTTTTCCTTTCATATTCCCGCTTCTGACAAGGTGACCCGTCTTTGAGGGAGACCATCAAAAGTATAGTGAAGAGACTTACTTAAGACTGAAAGGGGCACTGCCAGGCACCAGCCTCCAGAGCCAAGCGGTGGGATAATAGCCCCAATTAGAGGCTCAGCCCAGAGGTGTTTGGGGCCCTGCAAGGTCTGTCCTGAGCCTCACTGCCTACCTTCTCTTTTACCTCTTGGCGTGTGAACGGCTCAAGATTCCCAGTGTTCTGTGCCTCAGAGCCTCCACACTGGCTGTTCCCTCAGCCTGGAATGCCCTTTCCTACCCTTCGTTTGCCCTTCAAAATGTGCTCAGACCAAAACTTAGGGGAAACCTTCTTGCCTGGACTGCCCATTAGCATTCAGTTGCCCCCTTTGCACCCATTGTTGAGGGTCTGCCTGTGGTGGTGATGTTTCCCATGGAGCATACCCAGGCTATGGTACTCATCCTCCTTCCCCAGGGCCATTTCTTCTTGGTGACTGAAGAAATGAAGGGCAGGGCAGCTCAGGCAGGGACCCTGGAGCCAGGACCCTTCCAAGGGCAGGGCATGTATTCTGGGCCCCTCTAACCATAGGACGTGGGCAGGGGGACACTGAAGAAAGGCTAGAGGAGGTGGCCAGTGGGTGGACCAGGGCATGTGGGCATTTTGACCACAGGTACAACACATACATATATTTGTAGATGGGAGGGGCAGGCCCAGGGACGGTGTGGGGACTCAGTCACAAGGCTGGGGGTCATGTCATGTTGGCTCAGTTCCTGGTTCCTGGTCCCTATCACTCTCAGCCAGAACCCGAGTCTGCTAGCTGATTACAGCAGAGAGCTGGCAGAGGGCTCTGGTTGCTTGGGGCCACCTGGCATCTGGAACACAGTATTCTAGCCTTTGTCCACTCCTTGGGCAGTGAATCCACTCCAAGTCCCAGGCCACTGAGGGGCTGGCTGGCCTTGTGTGAGGTATGTGAAGGAGACAGCAGTGAGAAGCTAATCTGAGCCACTACCGTGGAGGGCTGTGGAAGACCCAGATGGAGGTGGTGTCCTGATAAATAGCAGAGCAGAGTCAGGTGCCATTCCTGACTTTTTGCAGCCCTCGGCCAACCTGTGCCTTCCAGGTCAAAAGCTCTGTGCTGAGGACAGCAAGGCAGGAAGGAACCTGGGTCCCCCAAGATGCTGCAGAGCCTTCTTCCTGAGGGAAGAGCACACATGTTGACTTTGCTGAACAGCTGTGTGCGGTTGCTGTGACCTACAGACTAATTCATTCCTAAGTGAGGCAGCATGTGAAGAGGTCAGGGTGTTGCCTGGCATGCGGTAGGCACTCAGTAAGTCAATAAATGTTGACAACCATTAATACAGAGGCAGGATAGGAAAAGGTGTCAGAGAGGTGTTGGTCAGCACTGGAAAGCAAGTGGGGCCTTCTGGTCTGATGGGAGTCCCAGTGCTTCTTGGAGTTATCAGACCTGCCCTGAAGACAAAATGGAACAGTCTGAGTGTGATGGAGGTAGCAGGTGTTGCAAGTTCTTGTGTGCATGCACACAAGAGGCTTTCATAGTGGTTACCCTATAGATTGCGGCCAGCCAGGCATACAGTGGGTCCAGACATAGGTTTGTGGGATATGGACAGAGAGAGAGAGAGGTAGAGACAGAAACTGAGTAGAGAAGGAAGAAAAGTAAAATTAAACAAAGCACTACAAAAAAAAATTAGAGGAGCTGGAAGCAAGTAGCTGGATTTAAGGCCTGGCCAACCTGTCTAGAAGTGGCTGTGGACAGAGGGCTCTGTCCCTCTGGCTGTGGACAGAGGTGCCCATCACCCCACTCCCCAGCCATGCTTTTCTCAGGGGTCCTCTGAATTGGGGTGGGTGGCTGGTATGCCTACAGCCTCTTGCATTGGCCCCTTCCCCAGACTCCTACCCTCCACAGCTGTCTGCCCACGTCAGATCGAGGCCTACCCCACAATGCCCCTTTTCCAGTACCCCTTGGTGCTCACCAATGCGATGTGTGCACAGTGACTGACACTGATTCAATTTGGAAAGCAGGTTCCATTCCCCAACTACCCAAGCCACAGCAGTGTCCTGAATCGCTGGTGGGCAGTCTGGCTTGGGAAGTTCTCCTGCTTCTCCTGGACATCAGGACCAACCCCCAGGTCCTGCTTACACACCTCCAAGGACAGGGAGCTCACTCCTTGGAGACAGCCCCATTAGTTTTTGACAGCTGGAAACCCTTATTGATGATCTTTACAGACCTTGGGTCCTCAGGCCAGACTAGTCGAGCAACCACCTTCTTCTGGATGTGGGGAGGGCAGTTGGGTGGAATCTGTCAGCTCCAGGCAGTGGATTTTTTGAATGACTCCCTGATTAGGATGTCTAGCCATTTCTTAAAGAGTAGAGCAGTAAACTAAGAAGAAAGGATCTGCTTTTTTGAGAATCCCAGCAGGCTGAGATTAGGTTGCCCTAGGATAAAGGGGACCAAAGTCAGACAAGCCTTGTCCTTTCGTCCCCCTCCTCCTCCCTAGGCCACCTCAGAGATGGCATTGCCCTGTGCGGCAGCACCCCACCAGGCACACAGATGGCTTCCTCCTCTGTCTCCACCACATCCCCCTCCACAGCTTCCTAACTGCTACCCGGACTGGTGCAGTAGGCCACCAGCCTACACACAACAGCTGGGCTTTTCTCCTGCAACCCATCACCCAGGCTTGCCCATGTGCAGAAAGGGAGGAAACACTCAGCCTGGACCCCTCTCTTTTAATTGTCTTCAGCCTCCACCTTTTTATTTGTCTGATCTTATAATCCTCACACTGGCCCTAAGTCATAACAGCTCTAGCAGACTCTTGTATGGCACTTGCTGTAGACAGGCTCTGTTCTGAATGCTTTACATACACTAACTCTTTTGATCCAAACCGCAAGGGGCTTTGAAGGAGGGGCTTTACAATCCCCATTTTACAGATGTGGAAGTTGAGGCACAGGGAGATCAAGTAACTTTCCTGATGTTATACATGTGCTAAGGGAGGTGTGCATGTCAATAGATTTTAGGCTGCCTCCTCCCTTCCCCTGGTGTGTCCCCTTCTCCCTTGTCCCCTCACAGTCACTCCAGGGGCTGGCTCAGGCCCTGCTCCCAGCTCCAGAAGGCCATAAGCTTCCTCCAACCCCAGCCCTTCTTAACTTCTACAACCCAACCCTGGGAGCTCCGTCCCACCCTCAGGGAGCCCCGGGGCCCCATGGAAGCTGTCTTGGCTGGGTTCCAGGAGGATGAGGGCATGTGTGATTCGTCCTTTCAAACAGCCACGCTTCCTTCAGGGCTGACAGCCAGGAGGCCCCACGAGGCGGCTCAAGCCCAGCCACGTGAGGCTCCCTCCCCTCCCGCTGCCCCAGGCCCCGCTGACTCAGAGCCTCACAGCCACCCCCTCCCAGGGGCGTGTGCGGGTGCAGGCTAGGTGGGGCAGGGGCAGCCCCTGGCACCCCACAAATCCCTGTGTGGGTTGGGTGGGAATGCTTCTTACCTTCTGTCCCATAACCAGCTGTCTTCTCTGAACAATAGGCTGTGAACAAGTCCACATCCTGCAGTGTTCTCTCAAGGCATGACTCCTGGCCGTAGACCAGCAACTTCTCCATCATTATTACTCAACTTCCCTCTCCTGATTGTTTCCAGATTCCACAAGGCCGTGGACCTCCCTGTCTAAACAGCCCTCCTTTCTGCACCAACAGTTTTCTCACCTCTGGAAAGTGGGTGCCTCTGTGTTCAATTCCAAGGATGAAGACTGTTTAGAAATCCAAGTTTTCTAGAAGGCTGTGAGCTGTTGTCAGTGGATGGATTCAAGCCAATGACGTCCAGCCAATTAACTCCAAAGAGTCACTTTAACTTTTTAAAGAATCTGACTTGAGGAAAAACTGAAGACTAAGATTTCCATATAGGAGAGTCAGAAAACAAGCTGGGTTTATAATGCTTGAACCCTTGCCTCTGCCACCCCATAGCGTGTAGGTTCAGCACTGAAGAGAGCTCTTTGCTACATACAACAATCGGATTTTCTGGCTAAGAGAAACTAAAACCTGCCAATTTTGCTGAGCATATGGAGCAACTAGAGCTCTCAGACTCTGCTGGTGGGAAGGTAACATTATAGCAACCACGGGGAAAACGCTAAAGCTGAGGGAACACACCGCGACCCAGCAGTTCCACTCCTGGGTATATTCCTAGTACCCTTTGA